TTGAATTGCAGTAACTACCAGCCTTTTAAACTGCGTTCTTCTAACAGGCTGCAAGTTAGGGGACCCCGATCATGCTTGGTCGGACCCCGGTTCTACCAAGGTGTTAGACCAAGGCACACTGTCACCAGTTTGCAAAAAAATTGATTTGAATTAAGAGAAATCGCAAATTTATGTAGAATAATTCGTTATATAGTTTGTAAAGATAAATTTTTACCCATGGTGAATAAAATTTCTTGCGCGTTATTTGAAAAATGGCTTGTCGAATGTGTTTTACAAAAAAGATATATTAATTCAGTATTTTGAGGACTTTATTTTTGCTGGAGCGGATAAAACAGACAATTGTTATAATCTACTTAGTTCAGTTTCGTCAGTGTGTCGTTATAATAGTATGTAAAATGTCTTTTTGCAGTCAAGCATTACGTTCAAGAAGGGAATTCTTGCATAGATGCTATGATGTTATGTCCAATGTTAGAAAGCCGTATCATAAGCTTCAAATTTCAGAAGCGATAAGACTTAATTTAACAGTGTGACTCACATTTTTGGATCATTCAGCGATGTCAGTTATATCCCAGATGACGTATGGTTAGATAGTAGTAATTTGCAGTTATTTACTGACAGTGCAGGGTCCTCAAAAATGGGCTATAGTTGTTTTTACAGTATAGAATAGTCGATTTTTGTGTGGCTTAAAACATTGTGTGACGAGATTATGAAAGACATTTTTAGAAATGGGCCTTGTTATGCTCGCATAATGTTTAGTGGGGGACAGTTTCAACATAAGAAAGTTTTATTAGATAATGAGGATTTAGCTGTAGTCATAATCAAAGCATTTTATGCAGTTAGTTCGTCAGTTTGTATTATTAGCAAAGGAGTTAGGTATTTTGTTTAAAGCAGTGCTTATTTCTTCTAATTTAAACTCAATCGCTGACTCAATTTCTCGAATGCAGTGGGACTGTTTCCGAAAGTTTGCTGCAAAGGCAAACCGAAAAACAGCGAAGATACCAGATCGTTTTCGTTCATTGATGTTCAATCTGAAGCTGAAACATTGTTAAACGCTTCGTTTGCAGATAACACTGTTAGGGCTTACAACACGGGGCTTAATTGTTTTGAACATTTTAGGAACATTTAAAGCATGCAGTTAGTTTGGCCATCTACCATAGTTTATCTCCGGGAACAACTTATCATTAAAAACAATTGCATTCTTAACTGCCCATTTATATGTTAATGCAATTGGGTTTCGATGAAAGATTAGCAATGTTTGTGACGTTTCAATGCATTACATTATATTGACAAGCTTTTAGAGGGTTTGAAGAGGTCTGCCAGAGTAAGAGAGTCAAGACTACCAATAGCTCAACATGTATTGCAGCATATTTTGTCAGTTTTGCCTGCGGTTTGTTCAAATTTGTATGAAAGTCATGGATTTAGAGCATTGTATGAAAATCATGGATCTAGAGCATTGTGTGAAAGTCATGGATTTAGAGCATTGTATGAAAGTCATGGATTTAGAGCATTGTATGAAAGTCATGGATGTAGAGCAGGTTATTGTCTTGCATATTTTGCTTTCCTTAGAATGAGTGATGTGACCGAGCAAAAAATTAGCTGCAAACGTAATTTTGATATCTGAAAAAAAATACTGGTAGATGAAGGTGAAGGTTATATCAAAGTAGTAGCAAATTTTACATATATAAAGTGAACAATTTTTTATGCTAGCACGAGGTGCCTTAGCTTTGAAATTAATTCAAGCCAAGGTGTTCAAAGCACAGAAAAGGTATTGGATCGTCTACACTAAAGCAAGCATTTACGGTAGCAAGGCAAATGCCTAGTGGAGCAAGCCTAGATTTGAAGTGTATTATTATTTGGTGGCAAGGCTACAGCAGAATATCTATACTGGATGTTTTCAGTTAATTTATTACACTGTGGGGGTAATGATTTAGGACAGACTAATCTATAGGAATTTCGTACACAAAATTGATAGCGTTATCAAGATCATTTTTGTTACTTTAAAATGTAAAATCATCAAGCCCTTCCACGTAAAACATAACGTCATTCTGGTAATCATGTTGCAATGGAATTAGCACAAAAAGGGGTAAATAGTTATACAGCTAAAAGAGTTATTGAAAACGATGTTTTTCAATTAAAACACTCTGACCTTCGTTAAAGTACTTCATCTCTATTTGCAGCTGATTAGGTGCATTTATCCTACCTTTGGCAATTGTTTGTTTCTGACACAGATATCGTCTGCATTGTAAGCATTTGTGTACGGTGGTTGTAATTGCTTTGAATAGTACAAGTGTGATAATGCTGGTTCCCGTTCTCATCAGGCAATCCGTTTTTCTTTTTAATTTGTGTTTAATGTTCGGATGGTCGCTGCTTCCAAAAGAGTTACATTGTCTCTCTTTTTGCGGTGGAAGGCGTCGTGTCACAAAGGTATAACTGGGTGCGACGTTGCCATTTGGTAGAACTCCGAACATGACTTATTATACTTAGGTCTTTGATGTTTTGCCATAGACGTACAGCATGGTCGCTGATTCCTAGATCCAGGCACTTATGTTTATGGCCGAAAGTTTAAAACAGTGCATTTAGTTGTATTGATTTGTTTTAAAACCCTTTGGGCGCATATATTCAGTGCTAAAGTTACTCATTTAAATATTTCCGAACAGTCAATTAGGCTATAATGAAATTCACTTTCAGTCCCATTTCGTTCGTATTTTCAGCCTCAATTTCAGGAACAGTTTAAGACCAATTGGGCGTATTGTTGTGTATAGCTTTTTGGACAGTTAACGGATTAACGGATTCAAGGTCGACAATTTGCTTGGTGACTGGTTAACATAGTGGGGTTCACATGATGAGCACGGGAACCATGCCCAAATACATTCAGACAGAAGAATGTAGGAAATCCGCTATTGCTTGTTTATTTGTTGAATAAATTTTATTGTTAACTTAGTACATATAGTTTTATATAAGATTTACGCCGTTGCGATGTTGTGCAACGGAAGTCCTTGAATGAATGAATGAAATGAATGAATGAATGAATGAATGAATAAATGAATGAATGAATGAATGAATGAATGAATGAATGAATGAATGAATGAATGAATTAATTAATTAATTAATTAATTAATTAATTAATTAATGACTTTCCAAAATGTTATCATTAGCCACAACACAGATTATTTGTTTGCATTAGAATTTAGAATATCGGCTTTCATTCAGGTTGTCGTTGTCCACAACTGGTCGTCCTCGAATCTCTTAGTAACAGTGAAATTTTAAATGTCATTTCTAATTGGGCGCCACTATATTTGTTATAACTCAATGATAGTCGGCGGGGTATTTCGATAACGGAATAATCGCAACTTTTTTCGGCTTAGTTTTAGATTGATTGCCGAGGTATTCCGATTAAAAACGGAAGCGGTATACCATGTATGTAATACTGAATGACACCATTATGACGAAAGAAAAATGTAAAATGAAAGAATTTGTTTATATTTGACTTCTCCATTTAAAGGCTGTCTACTGTCATATTATTATTGATGGTAGATTTTCCATGGTTCAATAACTGTTAAGCCCAAACAAAAGAACACACACACAAAAACAGCAGTCAGTCTGTTACTTATAGCTGTCAAATATGTTAAAAATAACAGCTGAGCACTCATGACTGTAGGCCTAAAACCCGACAGGTCCTTCAATATCTTAATGTAAGGAAGCTATCCAGTTAGCTTACAGAAGATCTGTTGTTTGATTCTGGTACCCGCTTTTACTCGAAATACTGCAAACAGTTGGGCACAACAGCAAAGATACACAGATGATTTGACTGTGGCATCGGAGGCCCTCACAATTCGGCCTTAGAGACCCCTGGTACACTTAAAGCAGGATTGAATATCTGATAGCTTCAGATAGGCTTCTTTGCATTCTGATAATAGAAGAGAAGATCCAGAATATTTAGAATTTGTAAATAAATCTTATAATAATTATGTCATCTTTAAATATATTTTTTCTTTAAGCTTTAGCTAACAAACCCTAGAAGCAATGTTTTGATATATTGTTTTAGCTACATTATATTTGTTCTTGCTTCATATTGTCATCAAATGCGATGTGCTGAGGTTTGGTTTGATATAAACATATTTGTTAAAGCTGGACTGAGAAACAAGTTACACATCTATCAATCACTTTCGAGTCCGCCACATGGAACCAACAGGTATCCTTCCAAACTCATTGCATAATACTATACCGAGTGTACGTTCGTGCCTGGAAATGATGCACGGAAGGGTACCGGAGGTCTTCTTCCACAAGTAAAGCTGGAACATCGCCTTATGACCTATACTGTGTCGAAGTGACGTATAACCTAATCAAACAAGCAAACCTAACGCTATACTGACCAATGCAGTTTCTCTTATGACATATAATGTGAGTGTGTCTAGTAATTGTTTAATAGCATTAAAGTTGTTTATGTATTCAGTAATTATCATTGGATCATTGACATTTATTGTCATTGGTCCTGGTCACTAAAACGCTTCAACTATGTTCTTTTAAAAGCACATTATGCCTGAGAAACTAGTAAATTTTTACTTCTTTAAAAAGGGCAAACATGAATTTTGAGATGTTTAAATAATAATGGTTTTAGAGCGTGTTAGATGCTACTTACCTGAAGAAGGTTGCGCTAAATGTGAAATAATTTGTCATAAAAGTAACAGAATGTAAACAAAATAGTATTTTGACTTCCGTACAAAATACTTATTCACTAACTATACTTATTGCTAAAGAGCAACACATGAAAAAAAGATGGTTCATGTAATTTGCCAATGAGTAAATTTTTAGATACTAGAAAAGTACACCCAAACTGAAAAGCTTTAGAAAAGAAAGGCATTTCTGAGGCATAATGGTCTATATACATTTTGCCGATTCTTTAAAATAAATAATTCATAGTTTATATGAAGGGGTGGGGTATTTTTTAAAACTCAAACCAAATGCTCATTGGAAAAAAACAAACAATAGCGACAAATGTGTGAATGTTTACAAGTTTATTGACCGAAATGAAACTCCACATGTAGAATAAAATTACAATGATAAAAGCGTTCGATGAATCAGATTCAGCAGACGTATTTTGTTTTAAGTGAACAAGTACCCAAGTAATGGGGGGGAATAATTATTATAGATCAATGCAATACGTCTTTCAAATGCCATCGATGAAAATTACAATACATGGTATTGATAAAGTTATCAAAAATAATAAATTAAAAACTTCTCTCCAAGAGAGTAAATAAAGGCTATAACTTTATATATAAAAAGTAGTCTCCCCTTAACTAGAATTTTATAAGATTAATCATTTGCTATTTAAACAGAAAATATTTCTTTTTTACATTGCATTTGATTCCATGTGAAAAAGAAATAATTCAGATAAAATATGCATCATATCTTTAACAAAATAAATATATAATAATTTAAAGATAAAAATTGAATTTCTATTATTTCAATATATTAATATTAGTTATCTTAAATACACGTCACGTGTTTCTGTTATGACGGAGATCATCAGACCATATATAAAGCGTCTAGCTGACTTGATCTGGTATCTATATTTAGCTTTTGAGTACTCTCATTTTGAACAAAATTCCCTGTTTGTTAAAGGAATAGCTAGCGACTTCCTTCCTTTCGACCATTTCAATCTTTTTCTCCTGTTGCAACTTTTCAAAGAAAGGTTCAAGTTTGCCGACATATTCACCAACATAACTTAAATATTCTTTTCTCATTACGATTAAAATCAATCCGTCTGAAATGATATAAAACAAATATTTTAGTTTAAGTTTATGGTCAATATACTTAATATTTTAATCTGTAATGTTGTGTTATACCTCAATACATAATAACTAAAATGTTGTGTTGTACCCCTATACATAATAACTGTAATGTTGTGTTGTACCTCTATACATGATAAGTGTAATGTTGTGTTATACCTGTATACATAATAACTGGAATGTTGTGTTGTATCTCTATACATAACAACTGTAATGTTGTGTTGTATACATTAATAACTGTAATGTTGTGTTATACCTGTATACATGATAACTGGAATGTTGTGTTTTACCTCTATACATGATTACTGTAATGTAGTGTTGTATACATTGATAACTGGAATGTTGTGTTGTACCTCTATACATAATAACTGTAATGTTGTGTTGTATACATTGATAACTGTAATATTGTGTTGTACTTCTATACATTATAACTGTAATGTTGTGTTGTACCTCTATACATAATAACTGTAATGTTGTGTTTTGTATACATTAATAATTATAATGGTGAGTTGTACCTCCGGACATTATAACTGTAATGTTGTGTTGTATACATTTATAACTGTAATGTTGTGTTGTACCTCCATACATGATAACTGTAATGTTGTGTTAATAACTGTAATGTTGTGTTGTACATCTATACATAATAACTGTAATGCTGTGTTGTACATCTATACATAATAACTGTAATGTTGTGTTGTACCTCTACCTCTATACATACTTACTGTGATGTTGTGTCGTACCTCTAAGCTGTACGATTATCGTAACATGAACTGTTTTGTTTTAATTGTAATGTTTGTGGCGATTTTGAGGGGATGAAATATTAATTATCATTATTATTATTATTAGTAGTAGTATTATTATTATCATCATCATCATCATCATCATTATTATTTTACCTGGTTTGACTATACGAATCATCTCTAGAACTCCTGCACAGGGTATATGGCTCTCCCCCATGCCACCGGCTATAACTAAACAGTCATATGTACCTGGAATATAAATCAAGACAAACTATATACATAAAGAAACGAGTGCTTAAAACAATGGATACAGTGTTGGAACAGTATCTCTTGACACTTACAGAAAAATCATGAGCTAAAAGTAGATAAGTACCGCTTTTTTCTCCGATTCTTACATTTTTCATTCATTATTAAATAAAGATGTATTAGACATCTTGGAGTGAGTGCATTTTGGTGGATAAAAAGGGGGATAATAGTATTTAATTATCCTAACGTATACGTAAAACGATATTTACTACTATTTAGTGTGGTGCTCTAACACTTTTTATGGCCTCACTCAAAACGAATAAGTACAATAGAAAGACTGAACAATATGGGATTTATATTTGGCTGTCGCATTTGCATTATCATAATCTTATTTTTTCACTGCAGGTCGGTCGGTCGGTCGTTCGTGAGTGCGTGCGTGCGTTCGTTCGTTAGTTCGTTCTAGTGTTATACATAATCATTTAATTATCATTATTTTCCCTTAAGAACTATTTTAATTGGAATCTAGTCAAGCTACATATTCGTGAGTGGTTGGAACGCATCATTCAACGTTAGTTAAAAAGTAGTCCCGTTATATACCAGCGTGCAGTTAATATAAACTGTATTCATGCCATTTATTTGTTATACCAATAAACTTCATCAAATCAAAAAATAATTATTTGTCCAACAAAAATATATATTTAACATTTGTGTAATCAATAGCTTAAGATCTTATAAATGATAATAGATAAAAAAAAGTTATTTTCAATAGGAGTTCAAACTGTATATTAAAACTGCATATATAATTGTGATCACATATACAAACAATTTCTTATTAAGCAAAGTAACTGTTAACAATGTGACCCTAATTTTGCTCTAATTTTACGCTAAAATAGTCAACTTAAATACGAACTGTGCCCTGGATCAAGGCAAGCCGCTTAAAAACTGCAGTGACCATATAAAGTGTGTTTTTAATCACTTAAACAGCAGACAATCTATTTGATCAATGTTCTCTAATTTCATTTAGTACGGAAACATTAAAGGGTCTCCATTAAATGTGATCGTGACGCGCCAAGTTGACTTAAATTAATTATTCGAAAACAATGTTAAACGTGTAATACTGATGCATGCTCCGGTACGCTTCGAGCTTATATATGTAAAGACTCTCGATTTGGATTTTTTGGAAACACGTGACCTATACCGGAAAGCCGAGAAAAGAGTAAATTATTTTATTCGATTTGATAAGATTTTCAACGCATATCAGATTATATTTAAAAGATATACAATGTAATTATATAAAATGTGTGCTTATTTTATTTTTAATATTTTTTCTAGATATATTTGGATGCTTTATCTAGGTTTGCTGTATACGGTAGCTTTGTCTTTAAAAAAAACATCAGTCTTATTTACAAAAAAATAAAATGTAAAAAGTGAGTAGCGTAAATTTCGAGGACAACATTACTCAAACATAAAATTTAAAGCATATCGAAACAAATGTTCGCAAATAATCGGTAAATTCTCTATGAAATAAATATGCTTGCATTAATTATTGTGAACGAATTGAATCGAATTAATCGACCTCCACGTAACGAGCGAACAAAATCAAGGCCCTTAAACGTTTCTGTAATTATTCACTCAAATAGTAGAATATTTGCCCGTCAAACAGAAATTTGAGAAATATTCGTTAAACCCGCTTCTTTTTTGAATGAATTGGAAATTTGAGACATTTGAGTAAACATTTGGTATTGTAAATACCCGTCAATCGAATATGTACATGTTAAAGATTTAAAACCTTATTCATTTTTTTTTCTCTGTCAGCAGCGTAAAATACAATATGTAACAGAAAATCGTGTTATATATAAATTTTTATATTGTTTTACATTAAAAAAAGGAAAAATTCGTTCTATTACATTAAAGGAAATGATCTTAAAAATATGGTTTGTAGTTTGTCATTTGAATTGAATTGGTAATTTTCCTTATCCTGTACAAAGAAGTCGTCGGTGCATAAGAAACGTCCATTCGATAGAAAGTTTAAACAAACCACATGGAAATGAGAAATAAAAACATTAATTACTTTAAAAAAAAAACATGCTTTTTGACCAATCACCTGCTCCAGATATTTCATAATGCTAATATTTCTTGATCAAACAGGAGAACGCTAATTGGACATTTTTAATCATAAGATGCCAGAGTCGTTCCTTATTTTAAAGGCCCACTAGGCCTCAGAATTCAATATTTATTTTAAATTCATTAGAAATGTCAAACATTTGTTCAATAATGCTTCAATAATGGATTTAGAGCATCTTAAATGAAAAGAAGGGCTGAATATAAACAAAGTAGTATTTTGACTTCCATACAAAACAACTAATTCACTATATAATTATTCCAAATGCCGAGAGAACAAAAGTAGCAAAAACAGTCAATGTATATGGCAAACCATTTTTTTATTTTCGAAAACTAACAAAATACCAAAAATTTTAAAAATTTGAGAAATAAAATTGATATTATTTCTGAGGCATAATGGGCCTTTAAAAGTTTCACTAACTATTTTATTATATTAAAACAGTTCTTGTTCAGTTCTATTCTGTATAAATAGAAAACATGTAAAAAAATAAAACATACTGTCGTCTATTGGAAGTCTATTTTCTGCGCAAAATTCTTGATACAGGTTTGTGTAGATAGCTTTCTTTCTACATTCCTCTAACATACCCTCGGCTGGATCCAGACCATCTATGTTTTTAAATCCGTAAGATGATAACTGAAATTTGTTAAATTGCGATGTAATATATTAAGAACGTTATTATACATGATACAACACGTGAATGTGATGCAACTTTGTTAGTTAACACTTAAAGTAAGTAAAGAGTGTAGTGTAAGAAATTTAGTAAGTAAAAATTATAATGTTGCACAGTACGAAAAGATTGTAAAGTAACATAAAGAGAGTGAAATTAAGTTACGTAACGCATTAAAGGAGTGAAAATAAGTTACGTAACACATTAAGAGCGTAAAAATAAGTTACGTAACTTATTAAGAGGATGAAAATAAGTTACCTAACGCATCAAGAGAGTGAAAATAAGTTGCGTAACACATAAAAAGTGATAACAAGTTACGGTACGTATTAAGGGAATGAAAAAAAACTACGTAACGCATTAAGAGTGTGAAAATAAGTTACGTATCGCATTAAATGAGTCAAAATAAGTTACGTAATGCATAAAGAGAATGAAAATAAGTTACGTAACGCATAAAGAGAATGAAAATAAGTTACGTAACGCATAAAGAAAATGAAAATAAGTTACGTAATGCATAAAGAGAATGATAATTAGTAACGTAACGCATTAAGATAGTGAAAATAAGTTACGTAACGCATTACATTAAAAAACAATGTAATGTAACACTTTAAGTGCGTAAAATCCTATGTGCAACGCATAAAGTATGTAAAGATGTAATGTTACACTTTATACATAGAGTTTTATACAATTGGTATGTAAAGCTTGTAATGTTATACATGAAGTTCGTTAGGAAGAACACATATTCTGCAACTTTAGCTGTGGGAAGATGTATTAACTTTAACGGTTGGAAAATGTACACTTATCTAACTTTAGCTATAGGGAAAATGTACTCTTATTTAACTTGAGCTATTGGGAAAATGTACACTTATTCAACTTTAGCTGTTGGAAGATGTACACTTAATCAACTTTAACTGTTGGGAGATGTACATTTATTCAACTTTAACTGTTGGGAGATGTACACTTAATCAACTTTAGCTGTTGGAAGATGTACACTTAATCAACTTTAGCTGTTGGAAGCTGTAGACTTATTCAACTTAAGCTGTCGAAAGATGTACACATATTCAACTTTAGCTGTTGGAAGATGTGCACTTATTCAACTGAATATGTTGTAAGATGTACACTTATTCAACTTTAGCTGTTGGAAGATGTACACTTATTCAACTTTAGCTGTTGGAAGATGTACACTTATTTAACTAAAGTTGTTGGAAGTTGTACACCTATTCAACTTAAGGTGTTGGAACATGTGCACTTATTAAACTTTAGCTGTTGAAATATGTTTACCTCAATACCAACACGACCAGTTCCACACGCAATGTCCATAACTTTTAGTTCATCTCTTTTTTCGGGGAAGACTTTTGACATCTCGTCTGCTATAATTGTTGGTCCATTATATGTACCTGGATTTAAATCCTGCAAAAAATGGAATAAAAATGTTGAAATCAAGTGTTAAACAAAATTCTTTTGCTTTCTTAAAATGTGTTCACTTAATATAGTTGTATGTAATGTTGCACGTGAACATACAATCGAATTAGACAAATTCGTCATCTGACTCAGTGAACACAAAAGATTAAAAATAAGCATCAAGATCATGACAAGAGTTAGGATCAGTTGATCCTATATAGTTCGTCTTCATTCATTTCTTGGAGCTGCTTATTGACCGCTATTTTCTATGGTGGCTAATTTATGTCATGCCGAAATTTCGCTCCGCGGGGCGCCAGGCGAAAACATAAAAATACCACAAAATGGTTGCTTTGTCGTATTTTTATGGGAAAAAAACGAACAAAATATTTTGATCAAAATCAAAAAACATCATAGGATAAATAATATACATTGAAATAACAGTTAAAAACACAATTTATTCATAAAATAAGATTTACTCAGATATAACAATGATTTATGTGTGTGTAGTCTTATTTTACAATGATTATATGAGTGTGTACTAAAATGTTTCTAAATCCTAATTAACGATGAAATCTTTTCGGGAAAAAATGTATGTAACATAATTTACCATGAAAGTGTGATCAAAATCAAGGACCAATTTTAAGACCATGTTTAATGTCGTACAAAGTGGTAAAAGCGTCAGATTAGTAATTCTAAGGAGGATTGTTGAGTGCGTGTGTTCAAACCCCGTCAGGGACAAATCGTTGTTTCCGTGAGCAAGAAACTTTGAACTCATTGCTCAATACTTGATGGTTCTAGGAACAGATAAGAGAGTGTTTCAATAAGCTTATAGCTTCCAACACTATCGAACTAATACAAATTAGTATAAACTAATGTCGTACAACTGTGTCATGATTAGCAAGTCTTCCTGGTTTGATACCTATTACAATATTTTACGCCCGACGACAACGACGCAACGATCTCGAAAACCTCACCGATCTTAAGTTTCTTAAATATCACACTCCTTCTTGATGTTTATAAATCAATGTCCTTCACCTGAAGTCTACAATTTCAAAAAGTCCTCAAATTGCAGATTTATAAATAATATTTTGCCCTTGAAACCCAAGACACTTGACAGTCTTGTTGCTACCATCACGCTCTTAGCCAAACAAATAAAGATTTTCAACTGTTAACCGATTGTACAATAACGATGTTTTAATTACTATTATACTATATACAATGTAATAAGAACGGCAATAATCAATTTTAAAGTTCAAAATGTCAAATCGTGACCATAAGACAATTAAGTCAAATTGATCGGGTACATATAATCATTGTAACTGATTTTAGTGTATGGTAAAATCGTGACTCTTTACAAATATTCGGATAAGGAGATTAGTGAAGCGTTCCGAAAGTATTATTACATAAACACAATATTATATGAGCCGCGTCATGACAAAAGCAACGTAATGCGTTTGCGACCAGAATGGATCCAGACCAGCCTGCGCATCCGCGCAGTCTTATCCGGATCCATACTGTTCCTTATCAGTTTCTCTACTTGTTATAGAGTTGGTAAGCGAACAGCATGGATCCTGATCAGACTGCACGGATGCGCAGGCTGGTCTGGATCCATGCTGGTCGCAAACCCATTATGTTGGTTTTGTCGTGACGCGGCAAATATAAAGGTTATAATATAAATTTCCAATGGTATGTCGTAATTCTTTACAAAGATATGTATTGAAAATTTTATGTTAAAAAGAGGAATTAAAATGAACAATGAAATTTATATTTTCACTTATTCAAATTTGATATGTTGATAATGTGGGTTTTACTTGAAAAGATATACACATTCATTTGACAAGTATTACAAAAGGGGGACACTTAAAGAGTGTGGCAGTAACAATTAGTCAGTATGTTATTGAATCTTCAATATAAATAGTGCAGTAGATTATTAATTATTACAAAAAGTAATGTTTATAAATAAATTTGATATTAGGGTACAGTCAGTTTATATAAATATATAAACAATTGTATAAAAAATAATGTATTATATAAGATAACCTATTCTGTATTAACTATCTAAACGAGTGCGTCCGTGTCCTAGTGGTTAAGGTCGTTGATTTCAAACCATTTGACACTAATCGTTGTTGGTTCGAATCCTGCCAGGGACTTTAAAATTATTTCATGTGAGGAAGATGTCCTGCTAGCTTACGGAATGTCAGTGGTTCTACCCTGGTGCCGTCTTCCTCCCCATTAAAATCGTAAAGTCGTCATATAATCCCTTTTCTTTCGGTGCGACGTAAACGCCCCTTCCCCCCGTACATAAGAGAAGAATATAGATGTCTATCAAATGTAAATGTATGGTGAAATCAAAAACAACAACATTTAAGGTGGGGGTGGGGGTAAATGAATGAACGTAAAAAATATCAATGTTAATTAAAATCTCTAACTTTCCGTACATATTCATTTCTGTGTTGTTGTAGTTTGGAATGGTCACTTATATATACATGTATTATGGTATTAATTTCAGTTGGTCTACCCGAAACTATATGATGAATAATCATAATTATACAATTTACATCTGTTAAGAAGCTGCACTGGTAAATTACACCATATTGATACCACTGACTTTAAACCATATCACCACCCCCATCCCCACCCGTTTCCCTGTTTCCTTCTCCCCATACACAGCACAGTCTTAAATAAATGTTGAAAATATTAGAAACTCGAGTGAATCGTAAAAGGATATTTTTGCATCCCTAATTTCATGATAAATCGATTGTTATGACTTTGCCAGCTTAAATTACCTATTACGAAATTTCTAATAGCTGAGGATCGCTTTTGTTGATTTCTTTTGCGTGTTTGTTTTGTATACGAGGGGTTAATTTTGTTCGAAACAAAGTTGGCAGTAAATCGATTCCGGATTCTGATTCATTTTTAAAGTTCAATATCTTTTCAATAAAACGTATGCGCAAATGTTACACACTTCAGTTTCTTCCATATTAATGTCGGAAAAAATGTATGCGGCCAAAGAATTAAAACATGTACATTTTCACGTGATCGAGGTCAAGGACGAATTTTGCTCATGGTGTGCACCATACCATGTAAATTTCACGTCATCTTTTGGTAAAACGATAAGTCGAAACAGTAAATAAGCCTTGAAATTGTTGTTAATTATAAGTGCATGTTTTGTTGGGTTTTTTTTTTGTTTTTGTTTTGGTTTTTTTGTGATTGGAAAAGGGAAAACTGTAAGTTTGTACGAAAGACAAAAAACATGAGAAAAAATTAGAAAACAAACATGTGTTGATATTTTTAATCAGTTCGGGGATAAATAAACCCTTAATCATCAGATAGATGCGGTAAATATTTATATATGGTCATCGAATATTTACATATGGTCATCGTTTAAAATTCCAGGTATATCCCTCATCACTAATGAGTCATTAGCTTCAACTTCCGGGCTTATATGTCCGCCAATAAACTTAAAGATTTTAGTTACTAAATGCAGAAAAAGTGTTAAACAATCCAGACTACTATGGTTTCCGGGTGAATCATTTTATCGGCTGCTAGCTGTTAAATATTGTGAGCAGATCGTACCGGCTCTTGACCTTTTCTAAACGATTATCTGGTGAAATGATATTTGTAAATGTAGCTGATTCATTCATTGAAACTAAGAAACTTAACCTAAAATCATACATTTCACGCGATCGAATAATTGTTTAATGTTGACAACATTGATTAAACATACACTATAAAGTGACATATTTTAATTGATAAATTTTAATTTTTAATTGATGAATTGATTTTAATATATTTTAATTGATATTTATTGATAAAACATATTTCAATTTATGAAACATTTAAATCATGTGTTTACAATGCACATACGACTTTTATAACAGGTTTTATCATAGCACTTCAGTTTTTTGTTTGCATAAAATCGTCTCGTTTTTTTTTCTAATTTTCTCATACGTTACAATAAATTGAGTTTACAAACAAGACTCTTAAGCAGGGAAATATATTACAATAACGAACATGAAAATTCTAAACAAAAACATGGGTGCATTAAATTATTTACAACTATCGACGAATCTAGAACGAAGCTTTCTGTTGAATTTATAAATATACATGTAACCGACTCGTCATGATTAATATTTGCAACAGTGCATCGTTGGTTCGATGGATTATAAATGCAATCGAACAGTTTTACATAAAAACTGCGTACGTAGGTATACAATAATGCAGGAGAAAACATGCATTAAGATAATGAGCCACGTCATGACAAAACCAACATAATGGGTTTGCGACCAGCATGGATCCAGACCAGCCTGCGCTTCCGCGCAGTCTGATCAGGATCAATGCTGTTCCTACTTGTTACAGAGTTGTAAGCGAATAGCAAAGAAAATCACGTGAGCACGCGCCGTTGTATTCCTGACTTAATTTGCTCGTTATTGCTACAATGGTCCGGGTAGTTTCATATTCAAATTGACATCGCACTAGTAGCACGTGAAATGTATGATAAAATGTGTCTTTATAGTAAACTGTTACGGAAAACAGATAACGAAAGGCAGAATTACCGAAATGGACGTAAACGTTTATGCATGAATTTCGTTTATGCACAATTTTCGTGCATTAACAGCTGCCGTAGGCTTTTAGTTAAATAGCACCATTACCTTTGTAGTTGTTCCACGAAAATGATCGGTTTAATCAATCAAGTAACAAGTTTGTAATTTTTTTTGTTGTTTCTTTTTGTTTGTCTTTTTATGCGAGCTTTTGTCATTCTTTTTTTAAATATGTGGAATAAATACATCTAGCATAAATTGGGAATCGGGTATACTCGTATTAATACGATCAACAAAAAGTGACAATGTTTCACCTACCTCATCGTACTTCTTATTTCTAGCCCATTCACTGTAATATGTAGCGACCTCTTCCGGGGTCATACCCTCTCTATGGGCTCCAAGGTTGGCATCGTATTTTTCCTCTGTCATATTTGTATATTCCTTATGATCGTCTACTTTGTTTTAAAATGTTATGTTATCAAACCTGTAATTACAATAATAGAAAATTAATTAGTTTTTTTTTTCTTTTATTGCTTATTTAAGAAAATGCAATTCATTTTATTGAATATTGTGACACGCTTCACGCTACTACCCTACATTCAAATGCATTATTACATGATACATATGTATAGCTATGCATGTATCAACCATCAGTGTCACGGAAATCTATATTTCATTTTTCCTGGGAACATGTTTAGTATTATAATTAATTGTTTTGTTCGGTTTTGACATCTATTCTTTTTCTATTATTTCCTTTTACAAATACGTAATATTACATACTTTTTGCCAAAAAATGCAAACCGCTTGTTCAACAAAGCATCACGACCGACCGACCAAACAACATTGACTTTTGCCGTCAAACCCTCAACTCTTCTACCTCTTTTCACTCCTAACTCATGCCACATATTGACCCTTATTTCAAATTTAATACTTTAAAAGATCAAAAAATAACTAGCTTGTATCCGAGATTCGAGAAATGAATAATAACAAATGAGCAAATATTCCAATTATTTTAGTAAAAGAACCGAAAATTATTTATTCATAGAAAAGAAAAGGCAATGCGTTAACATTATGATTTATTCATGTTATGTTTTGTAACACACATTGTAGAATAGATAACATATACATGTTTCTTATGTAGAAATTCTTATTTAACTTATATTAAATGAAAAGACCGCAAGGGAGTTAAAGTGTAGTTTGTACAGAATCTGCAACGCTAGAAAGTAATTGAGCCGCGTCACGACAAAACCAATATAATGGGTTTGCGACCAGCATGGATCCAGACCAGCTTGCGCATCCGCGCAGTCTGATCAGGATCCATGCTGTTCGCTTACATACTCTATAACAAGTAGAGAAACTGATAGCGAACAGCATGGATCCTGATCAGACTGCGCGGATGCGCAGGCTGGTCTGGATCCATGCTGGTCGCAAACCCATTATGTTGGTTTTGTCGTGACGCGGCTCAATTCTTTATCTTCTTGTATGCATATAAATACATAAATTTCATATTTTATATACCTGTATCATTTAATTAATTATTTAATATACATAAACAATACATGAAGTTAGACGTGCATACAACGTGCACTCCTTGTATTATATCAGGCACCAACGGGCACCTTAGCAGAACCACCGACGTTTCGTAAGCTACCTGGTAGGTTCGGCTATTTTGGCTAATGAGTAACACCTTAGAAACTGTATCAGTAGGCTTAAGATAAAATGAAAGCTTTTTGAGACAGGTGACGGAAGTGACGAAACGTATGGCAGTCACGAGACTGAATTTCTCGATTTCCTCATAGACAGGCATTATGTGTGTTTCCTTATAAAGCTATTTATCTACTGTGCGCATAAACCATAATGCAAATTAAAGTTCACTTTCCACATTATGATTGCATTTTTAAGAATCCGTCTTAAATTGACCGAGTTCTAAATGTAGTGTATAAAGGCCCATGTAAACAACTCGATTATAGTCCTCGAAAGAGGTGTTTATGGCGCTGCACTTGCTCAGTTGCAAGTGCAGACTGTTTCTTTTCTACGTCGTTAAATTTAAAATGTAAACACTTCAAATCCAAACTAAATAGACAAATTGCTATCATAATTCACGTAAAATAGAGTCAAACTTTCAATTTTCAAATTAACAATGGAGAAAAAGAAGAAAACAGTAATAAAACTCCATTAGAAATCATGGACAATTTATTGAATTGCAGAACCGGTTGTGCTGCCTAACGCTAAGCATCTGTTGGTGCGTTGTATGCTGCACAGCTCGATGTGATGTTTAATGCACCGGTTTGAGTGCCGTATGTTGAACAATAAACCGGGATGCACAGGTTGGTGTGTTGTGTGATGCACTGGTTGGTGTGTTGTGTAATGCATCAACTGGTTTGTCGTGTGATGCACCGGTTAGTGTGTCGTGTGATACATCGGTTGGTGTGTCGTGTGATACATCAGCTGGTTTGTCGTGATACATCGGTTGGTGTGTCGTGTGATACATCGGTTGTGTGTGTCGTGTGATACATCGGTTGGTGTGTCGTGTGATACATCAGCTGGTTTTGTCGTGTGATGCAGCGGTTGGTGTGTCGTGTGATACATCGGTCGGTGTGTCGTGTGATACATCGGTTGGTGTGTCATGCGATACATCGGTTGGTGTGTCGTGTGATACATCAGCTGGCTTGTCATGTGATACATCGGTTGGTTGTGTCGTGTGATACATCAGCTGGCTTGTCGTGTGATGCAGCGGTTGGTGTGTCGTGTGATACATCGGTTGGTGTGTCGTGTGATACATCAGCTGGTTTGTCGTGTGATGCAGCGGTTGATGTGTCGTGTGTGATACATCAGTTGTTTTGTGTCGTGTGATATATCGGTCGGTGTGTCGTGTGATACATCGGTCGGTGTGTCGTGTGATACATCAGTTGGTGTGTTATGTGATACATCGGTTTGTGAGTTGTGTAATACATCGGTTGGTGTGTCATGTGATACATCCGTTAAGTGTGTCGTGTGATACATCAGCTGGTTTGTCGTGTGATACATCGGTTGGTGTGTTGTGTGATACAGCGGTTTGTGTCGTGTGATACATCGGTTGGTGTGTCATGTGATACATCGGTTGGTGTGTCGTGTGATACATCAGCTGGCTTGTCATGTGATACATCGGTTGGTGCCGTATGTGTGATACATTAGCTGGCTTGTGTGTCGTGTAATGCAGCGGTTGGTGTGTTGTGTGATACATCGGTTGGTGTGTCGTGTGATACATCAGCTGGTTTGTGTGTGTGATGCAGCGGTTGATGTGTCGTGTGATACATCAGCTGTTAGTGTGTCGTGTGATATATCGGTTGTGTGTCGTGTGATACATCGGTCGGTGTGTCGTGTGATACATCAGTTTGTGTGTTATGTGATACATCGGTTAGTGAGTTCGTGTAATACATCGGTTGGTGTGTCGTGTGATACATCGGTTGGTGTGTCGTGTGATACATCAGCTGGTGTGTCGTGTGATACAGCGGTTGGTGTGTCGTGTGATACATCGGTTGGTGTGTTGTGTGATACATCGGTTGGTGTGTCGTGTGATACAGTGGTTGTTGTGTCGTGTGATACATCGGTTGGTGTGTCGTGTGATACATCGGTCGGTGTGTCGTGTGATACATCAGTTGTGTGTGTTATGTGATACATCGGTTGGTTTGTCGTGTGATACATCGGTTGGTGTGTCGTGTGATACATCGGTTGGTGTGTCGTGTGATACATCGGTTGGTGTGTCGTGTGATACATCGGTCGGTGTGTCGTGTGATACATCGGTTGGTGTGTCGTGTGATACATCAGCTGGTTTGTTGTGTGATGTAGCGGTTGGTATGTCGTGTGATACATCGGTTGGTGTGTTGAGTGATGCACCGGTTGGTGTGTCGTATGTTGCGCAATAAATCGGTTGGTGTGTTGTTTAGTGTTTTTTGGGCGATGCACAGGTTGGTATGTTGGAAGATATACCCAATTATCAGGTTATTAAATTATAATGTTTGGAGATATATAAAATGAAGTATTGGGTGGATTTATTTTCTACCCTACTCTTTATTATCGTTTGAATGGTTTGGATCAGAAATAAACAACACAGTCACTGTTAATTCTTATTTCACAATGAGCTCATTTTATTTTGCCAGAGTATCAGAGATGGATTAAGATAATCGGATAATTTGATATCGCATTTTTGGAGATTTATCATTATCATTAGTACATGTGCTACAGAAAAATATCAAAAAATACTTTTAAATAAATTGAGAAAAAAAGTTCTCACGCAGTTACATTAATCCCATAGTCAAATCAATAATATCTTCGAAATGTTAGCCCAACGCAAAAAGTGAACACTTGGTAAAATACCAAAAAAGTGAAACTGTAAATATAGAATTGCGTTGGCACATGTAATAAGCTGTATCATCTAGCGGATATTGTGACGCGATTTAGTTTATTCGTAAATCGTTTATAATACAGGAAGTGATGAAAAGAAAATATGAATGTCTTCCACTGTTCGAGAAAAAAAAGTATATAATCAAGTCTAATTCCTGTTACCGCAAGAACGGTACAAGTTTGAATAATATATAGGCTCCCATGCACGATTCAGTACGTGCTCGACAGTATGTATAGGCTCGCAAGAAAGGGTACAGTGATTTTGTTTATCTATAGTGGAGTATTCAGCGGTTCAGTATTGTTATCCTGGATAGATACTTGTCCTGAACAGTGCTGGTATATGAAAAATATAGTTCTACTCAGTGGCCAAATTTATCTTTATTCGTGATTGGTGCAGTAACTGTCCTTATATCATTAGCCTGCCTGCTTGTCTTGTGATAGCTTTTATATGATAACGGTTTTAGACCTGGCCGCCGCGTTACTCTAATTATCATAAATGAGCAGCACTTACAGTAATTGATGTTTACAATAGTTTATTTATTTAATCTGCATATAAAATAATATTTAGCATCTTTTGGAATGCAATTCTTCTAAAATAAATTAAAGGTACTATCAAATCACATCAAGTTATTGAAATCGGACTCACTTGCAGTGACAAAATATTAGTTATTTCACATTTTAAAGTCATTTTGTATTAGAAAGAGCATCGAAACACGAGTATATCTGATTTGTACGAGGGGACGTATGAGTGTCAATTTTAGCCGGATTTACCGAGATACTGTTCTTTTGTTTAAATACATACTTTCCTGTGATATATTTTTCTACTCGCAACCAACGGATGTAGAAGCAACCAGTTAAAGTTTAGTCAATATTTACAAAATGAAACGTTGCAAAGGTTTAAACTTACAGCATGTACCTGAACTTAGAAGTTTTTTTCCTCGGACAATACATGTAGTAATTATCCAGTTTAAATATAAATGTACGAGTCTGTGTTGAAATTTTATCTTGCCATGACATTTTATTTAAAAAAAAAACGCCCAAACATCAACCTGTGGGATAGTAGCGTTAAGACCGACACTTTATTTACGTCGGATGATTTTTAGTCCTCTTTTTTTCTTCTGAATCAAAATAACGAAACCAGAGAAGGAAGATACAGATGAGGTAAAGTTGAATTCAAAGTATCAAACATGAGATGGATTATTCATATAAAGAGAAAGGAGTTTGCAGTGCATGTTCAATACTGAATTTTATAGTGAGTTTAATACCTTTGTTAATTTTACTCTATCCAACGAGTCTATGAATTTGGTATTGAACCTAATCATTTTAAGCTGATTGATGATTGGTACATGTGATTTACTAGAATTTACATTCATGCAACCAAGATTTTTGGATGTCCGTTTTGGACGGATTTTAGCCTATTTGGATTAAGTTTTTTACCGAAACATTTTTACCATACGCCAGGAGGTATTTAAATGTCTTGATTTTTATCTGTTACCAGGTTTTAATCGCTTTGTCATCAGTATAAATCACAAGACTGCACATCCATTTAGTCTGACCAGGTTGCTCCATGGTTGTATTTAAAGGTTTAAAGGCACACTATGCCTCAGGAAGAAAAAACTTTTTTGTTTCTTCAGAAAGGGCAAATATGAATTGTGTAATGTTTAAACAATAAAATTTGAGAATGTTAGATGCTTGATACCTGAAATAGCTTAAAATTTGAAACAATTTGTCATGAAAGTAGCAAAATGTAAACAAACTGGTATTTTTGACTTCCATACAAAACACTTATTCACTAGAAAGTGTTCTCATTGCTAAAATGCAACAAGTAAAAAAGATGGTTCAGGTAATTGGCAATGAGAAACTTTTTGGATACTATTAAAGCACACCAAAACTAAAATGTTTTTGAGAAATAAAAATTAAAAGCATTTCTGAGGCATAATGGGCTTTATTTATTACCTAAAACTTCGAATGGACCATTCCAAAAATCATAGCAGGGAAAACCCCATATTATATAAATCCACAATTGACCTTGAAAATTTATGTGAGTATCATCAGAGGCATCGCAGTTACACGAACAGTTGATAAATTTGTATAAGACAAAATTAAGACAAATGAGCCGTGTCATGACAAACCAACATAATGGGTTTGCGACCAGCATGGATCCAGGCCAGCCTGACGCATCCGCGCAGTCTGATCAGGATCCATGCTGTTCACTTACAAACCCTATTACAAGTAAAGAAACTGATAGCGAACAGCATGGATCCTGATCAAACTGCGCGGATGAGCAGGCTCGTCTGGATCCATGCTGGTCGGAAACCCATTATGTTGGTTTTGTCGTGACGCGACTCATACTTTGCCCTTGAAACCCGAGACACTTGACAGTCTCGTTGCTACCATCACGCTCTTAGCCAAACAAATACAGATTTCAAAATCATTAATGCAACTGTTAACCGGTTGTACAATTACTATGTTTTAATGACTATTAAAGAACGGCAATAATCAATTTTAATGTTCAGAATGTCAAAATAGTAAAATCGTGACTATAACACAATTAAGTCAAATTGATCGGGTACATAAAATTATTGTGTTTGGTAAAATCGTGACTCTTTACAAATATTCGGATAAGGAAATTGATAGCGAACAGCATGGATCCTGATCAGACTGCGCGGATGAGCAGGCTGGTCTGGATCCATACTGGTCGCAAACCCATTATGTTGGTTTTGTCATGACACGGCTCAAATCTTATACCAACCACTAAATCTAAATCAACTATACCATACCAACTTATTTTTAGAGGTAACTATATAGTTTACTCCGGTAAACTGAATTTACACAAAAGTTGACCAACCAAGTACATCCATGATAATTTCACGGCATGGCTGAAGATTACAGACAGACAGACAGACAGACAATTCATTTCTATAAAGTAACGCTTATAAGCTTATGACAGCATATTGCCAAGATAACGAACAGTCCATATGTTATTGTACAAAACAAATTATGACTTTTATAGGAGTAAGTTGTAAGAGTAACCTATTCGTAAGAACGTAGAGTGATGCAAATATCAATTTATGTGTGTGTTTCACTCACGAACTTCATATCTTTTACAATGATTGTATTATTTATGTCCAGGTCTGGTTATTGCTAAGTTACCCGGATGAAAATTATATTGTTTACCAATATCAAATTATGAAGTAGTGTCACAACAACCATCGTTAATGTTCATTACATAAATGATTATATTAACCCTTTCCCCCATGAGCATATTGTGAAAAATGGCCATTTTCACTGATAAGCCTCCTCTAACAAGTTCAAACTGCTATGAAACTATGAAAAATGCTTCAATACTAATCAAACTTGGCACAGATGTTGACTGGACCATTGCCTTTGTTACGACATGCTCAGTCTTAAATTTCCTGTTACCATGGCAACGAGGGGACATCTCAAAATTGCCAAAAATCACTTTTTTGCCTCGATTTTTTCCATCAAAATTTACTTCAAAGTGCTGCAACTTCTCAAGGGATTGAGATAGAGTCAAAGGCTTTTCAGCGTTGGTTACACGTTACCTTATGATCAACCTGGGGTCATTTTAAGCCTCTCACAAGTCCAAAATTTTCTTGGCGATGAGGGGGACTCCGCCCCCCTTCAAACCCCCCAAACAGAAGGGGGCACATCCCCCTTCTGGCAACCCCCTGATGTATTATTTGAATGGGGGACGGCGCCGAAAAAATGGTCACTTTTTTTTACAACATTTCTCAAACGAAAAACAGTGTTTGGGGTCTAAATAGGACATTTTTTCACTGTTTGAGGCCTCAAAAAGGGGGGGGGGGTCAAAAAGCAGTCGAAACACGCTTATATAAGGGAAAAGGTTAAACCATTTTACCTACATATCTTATTCACTATTAAGACAAAAGGTATACAATATTTTTATACATTTATATTATAATGATAATAATTATCTCATAAAAAATCAGTCTAACCGAAACGAATCTGTAAGTCAGATAGTATGGCATTCGAATATACATGATTATATAACTTATTTGTTAATTAAAAGTTTGCGGATGAAAATTGCCTTTTACAATTGCATGAGAATCATCATCATCATCATTGTTATTCAGAATGCTGTTTGCTAAATTCGTTTTCCTTCATGGCTTCAATTCTTGTGATTATTTCCTTTTCAGTTAAGCTCGAAACTTGATATCGGACCGACAACAAAGGTGGAAAAACTGGCAGAGCTTTTAAAGGTGTCTTTTAATGTTTATTTCAATACATTATTTAGGCTTTATACATGTTTAAGCCCAGAACGTATTCTACTTTTCCTTTCATGTTTACTTCAATGAAATATTAAGATCTTCCAGAATATTTAAATAAAAAAGCAAGGCACGTCTTCATATAACAATAATTTCATAACTTAATGGCACATTATGCCTCACAAATATTTTTTTTCTTCTGTAGAAAGGGCAAACATGAATTTTATAATGTTTACATAATGGCTTTAGAGCATGTTAGATGCTTGTTGCTAGAAGAAAGTAGAGATAAATGTGAAATAATGTGTGATAAAAGTAGCAAAATGTTAACAAAGTAGTATTTTGACTTTCATACAAAATACTAATTTACTATAATTGTTCTTATTGTCAAAAAGCAATTTCCTATAGTTGGCCATCCAGTGACTTTTGGATACTATAAGTGTGCATCAAAATTAAAAAGCTTTTGTGAATAAAAATAAAGTCATTTCTGGGACATAATGGGTCTTTAAGTCCATCTTCACATTTTTCATAATATTTGATATCGATGTCAAGTAATCAATCACCTAGCATAAACATTGTAGCACGGGACTGAAGGAATTGCCCTGAAGGACATCATTCTACATCAGAACTTTTGATTTGCCCGAGATGGGAGCATTATGCGACCCCCTCACTAAACTCCCCCCCCCCCCGAACACAAACACACACACATAAATATTTAAAAAAAAAACAAGACAAAACAGTACACACACCAATGCGAAGAAGAAGTCATCTTATGTTTGTTTTTGGTAATACTATCTTTATATATACATGTATTTGACATGGAGAATTTACCAACTGTTCTAAACATGAATAAATCTTGTTCAAACACGTATCAGATTAAAAAATTGTCCTTCTACATTTACAAGCTTAGTGTTACACAGAGATTTTTTTTAAACCTTGACAAAAGTTCGGCATTATTTTCTTAATTCCTTATGAAAGTTTATAAAAGTATTTCATATAGGTTTGAAAATTGTATTGTAATCAGGTATTGATAAGGTGTATTGAATTGTGCTATGTTTGGTCTCTCGGAGTTTTTAACATGGTGTTTGAAAGAAAAAAAAACGAAAAAACTGGAAAAATTTAAACCACGGTTAAAAATTGTTAATTGTGGCAGATTAGAAACAATCATTTCGTTTGAAAATTTAGGTCAAGTGTCGTGATTTTGGCGAAGATTCCATTTAATTTTTCAATGTGTTCCAACTAACATCGATCTAAAAACAAATCTATATCGTTTACGGCCAAAGACTTTTTTTGTCCACTTTCAATACATCTTAATGTAAATATATATAAATATAAAACGCATACAAACATACCGGTTGCGTCAATACCCGGTAGTTTTCATTGAAAATGACTAAAAAGACAAAAAAAGATTAAATAACGTAACTATATGCTATTACAAATATTTTTGCGAGCCATGTCGTCTGCAAATACCGTCTATTTTTAGCTCCTAAGCACAAAAGGACAATAAATTTCTAATAATTACAGTGAACTTCGTTAACCTTGCAAACATCTGAAATATGTAATTTTGAAAACTAGATTTCGGATCCGATTTACCATTTTTTACTAGATTTCCTTTCTGACGTACCATTTTTTTTCACACTAAAATATCTAAACTTGGTTACCTTGTCGTTTATTAGTCTTCTAAAAATTCCTTTTTAAGATCTTTATTTCAATACTATAATTTTTTTACTTCTTTAGCCACAACTGCTACACTTAAGTTAATATTTGTATAGTTTTTATACACGTGTCATGTAAACTTATTTCCGAAATATCAAATTTCGGCGGAACTCGGTCTGTTACAGTCGAAGTAGTCCGCACAATGACGGACGTAAAAATAGATCGCTAAGCGTTTAAGAACGCGCGCAATAATACATTTCAACACAATTCTAAAATAAAAACCAATAACGAACCATAAATTTGAAACACGGTAAGCTGGATAAATGATTTAATAAAGATCCAAGTCCATTCATGTCAATACCACAGGAATTGCGCGATACTGACCACTTGCAAAAGAATGTCATGACATGTTCTCAAAGAGAGCAGCTAAATTTTGTTAAGCTTTGTTAAGCGTTACACTCAAGAAGGCTTACAATAATCGCAAGCAACCTCTTACTAATTTTTTATGAACTTTTTATTTGTTAATTTATTTATTTATTTTGTTTTGTTTCGCAAAAATCTAATACCAAGAAGAGTGATCACGTGACAATTTTTTACGGTAACATTAGGGTCATCACTAAAGGTTTTTCCTTATTTGCTTAAATCTTTCAATATTTGAATAAAAAACAAGTGTTTCAGGTAAATATTTTTAGATTCCAATGGTATGTATTTTTAAAATGTTACTTTTGTACCTTTCCAGATATTCTTGAAGAAATTGTGACATACGTTTTCATCAAAATATTGCCGCATAAAAAAGTGTGTTTCAGTAAAGTACGTTCGTTTTGATAAGCATGCGCAACACGTGATCGCTTGCATCGAATCCGTGGCGACGTCATGTTGACCAAATAAATATTTAAAAAATCAATTAAGCCAAAACAGTTTTTTCCCGTCTTTTTTGTAGCACACACACTGTTCTGGTGTATACTAAGTTCAATTGAAATACCGTCAACTAATTTACAGTTCTCCACGAGGTTTAAACGCAGTTCTCGATAAATAAATTATATAAATATAAACAAAGAATTACATAATGTGAATTGTACTTAATTGCACTAATTGGGTTTTTTTTAACTGACATTATAACATGTGTTATTTACATTCAAAGTTTGAAATGTTATTATAATGTACGATAGTTAGACTGAAAATAACGCTATAACCTTTTTAGATGTCATATTGATACGCAATCGTGAAAGTAAAGTGACAGAAAAAAATAATACGTAAAGTAGCATTCTGCTGATTTGGTGATTGACCAATAACGATTGTGGCCGATTTCGGCCATTTTAAAACCGCGAGAAATTTAATCGCTTTATCATAAAATGTGCTAACCCGCGAGAATTCTGCCGAAATCGTACAAAATGTCGCGGTCGATTTTGACTCTAGTGGCCGGTCGCGTAGATGCTTTGACTTTATTTTATCCCTCGTCTGTCTATAAAAAGTCGAGAAACAGAAAGAAATCCGCCACACTTTGTGCAAGACTTAGTGTTGTAGAAATTTAACAAAAAGCCGTGGGAGAAGCTTTATATGCCCGTAAAATTTTGTTCCTCACAACGGCCTCATAAATTATCGCGGCGAGTAGTACAATTTCCAGGCGCAAAATTATAAAAGAGATATTTCCCGGCATAAAAAGTCGACTTTTTACAAGGTATGCATCAAAAAACGATTTTTACGACAAAAATGTGAAAAGTTGCCCGCGATATCTATAAAATGACGCGGCTTTAAAATGGACGCTACCGGCCACCATAAATAGCTGATAATGAAAAATTTGTATGCTACAATTTAAAAATTACGCAAGTCATAAAAAGACTACCCATCCCATTTTAAAAATTGAGTTTAACAGAAAAATTCTGAACGTTATTTATAAACATTAGTGCATACCCCATAGAAATCAACACTTACTTTCGAATCGAGCTATATTTGTCTTGGAAATGATGCCGATAAAGACGTCAAGGTCGAGTGGTGTTGCTATTTGTTACCTGAAGACGTTAGCGCTAAATGTGACCTTATTTGCCATAATTATGTAGCAAAATGAAAAAGAAGTATAAAATACTTAATCACTATAGTCACGGTGCATATCCATATCGGTACCCTCTTTGCGAAATCTGCTGAAACGGTACCCTCTCTGAACATGCACAGGTCATTCTCTGCTAAAAACAAACCAGCGATGGATACCAATCCAGTAAAATTTCATTGTAATAAGGAAAGGAGATATGACACGTAGAAAAGATGTATACCACGGAACACTAGGATGTTTTATTTATGTGCTGATTTATCATGTGCCCGATTTTCATGTACTGAAACTTCACAATAAGCTACAAAAAATCGACATGTCTTGCTTTGCCCATCACCTCGACATATTTTTCGGGCTGAAATGAACCTGTGGCTTGATTATATATGCATCATACATATTTAATATGTTCATATACATATCATCTTCGGACAAATGGCAGTATATTGTCAAAAATAAATGTAAAATTCATAAAAACACCCTACTTTCGGTTTTGCAGCGGCACGGGCTACCTCTCTTCATTTGAATTTTTATATCACAGGTACCCTCTCATTTTTTAACACATAGGTACCCTCAAAGCACGACATATGCTTTTTATTGCGTTAATCGTTAAGTATGTAATATTTACATAAAAGTAAAAAGTATTACATACACACTTAACGATTAACGCAAATAAAAGCATATGTCGAGCTTTGAGGGTACCTATGTGTTCAATAATGAGAGGGTACCTGTGACATAAAAAATCAAATGAAGAGAGGTAGCCCGTGCCGCTGCAAAACCGAAAGTAGGATGTTTTTATGAATTTTACATTTATTTTTGACAATATACTGCCATTTGTCCGAAGATGATATGTATATGAACATATTAAATATGTATGATGCATATATTATCAAGTCACAGGTTCATTTCAGCCCGAAAAATATGTCGAGGTGATGGGCGAAGCAAGAAATGTCGATTTTTTGTAGCTTATTGTGAAGTTGCAGTACATGAAAATCGGGCACATGATAAATCAGCACTTAAATAAAACATCCTAGTGTTCCGTGGTATACATCTTTTCTACGTGTCATATCTCCTTTCCTTATTACAATGAAATTTTACTGGATTGGTATCCATCGCTGGTTTGTTTTTAGCTGAGAATGACCTGTGCATGTTCAGAGAGGGTACCGTTTCAGCAGATTTCGCAAAGAGGGTACCGATATGGATATGCACCGTGATAGTTGTATTAATTGCCAAAAGCTACAGAAGACAAGCAACGTTATGGAAAAAAATATTGAAGTACACTTTAAACAAAATAAATAATAAAAAAACTTTGAGAAAGCATTTCTGGGGTATAATGAGCCTTTAATGGTGCATAATGGGTCTTTAAAGAAAAAAAACTAAAAAAAAATAAGTGAAAATTTTCAAGTATAGTTCAAAGAACATTTACACTGTGGTATAGTGAACTTTAAAATATCTCCCGTTGCACGTGGTTAAGTTACAGTTATAAAGTATTTGCACTGACATACAAAATGGGTTCAAAATGGTCATAATAGTTTCCATGTGAAAAAAGAAGTCAAAAAATGTTAAACGCATATTATGCCCCTGAAATACATAAAGTATGCCATACGAGAGTTAAATCATGTTTTAATAAAGGATTGAGAGTACGTTCTATATAAAGATGTTTAACAACTGAAAAAAGTAGCGCTGAGCCTGCAGAAATATGTCGTAAACGTAGCAAAGTGTAAACAAAGTAGTATTTCATTAATTCACTATAATTTTATCCATTGCCAACAGGGCTAAAGTAGCAAAAGGCTGTTCATGTATATTTATATGGCAAATGAGTATTTTTTGAAACTGTAGCAAGACACCAAAAATAAAAAAAAGATTTTGAGAAATAAGAATGAGTGCAGGGACGTCGTAATATTGCAATTCACGTGGACTGGGGGAACCTCTGCTTAGAAGTTTGACCATCCCTTACCTAATCAATGCAGCGTACAAAATCAACTTATTCCGATACATATCTGTCATTTGACTAGACCGAATAATGATTTGACTGAAATAATGGATAGTGGATCATTCACAAGTAAAGCTGAAAAATTGACATGTGACCTTAAAGTGTTTAAAGCAACATATCTGCTGCAAAAATATTGTTTGAAGTTTAAAAATGCTTGTTTAACATCAATATGGTAATGGCTTCCCTTAAATGGAATGGCACATGCACGAAATCATTTCTAAATGGATAATACCCTACTTACAATAGTAGAACCTGTTACCCGATAACGTACACTATTCATGTGTCTTAAATAACAGAGACATCTTTCTTTGCGGCAGCGACAACTGCTGCCTTATCTTAAATAGCTGTTAAATAGCTTACAATAACATCAGCTGGTATTGGTTTATTTTATCTTAAAAACAAAATGAAAGGGTTTTTTGTTTGTTTTGTTTTTTCTTATTTTGCTGATTTATATTACCCAAAAAATTGAAATTGCAATAAAACAGTTATGAAACGAGCTAGTAACGGGAGAGGGGTATAACAGATGTCAGGGCGTCATCTCGGGATGTTTCTGCAGGCCTAACAGCCTCAAAACATCCCTCGATGTCGCCCCAGCCAATGTTATATCATTGTAACTAACTCGTTCGCTTCAAATATAATAGTTATAGTATATGAAACAAGTTAGTAACGGGTGTATAACAGTGGCTGTGGCGATATCGAGGGATGTTTCTGTCATAAAAAATGTCGAGACCGTTATCCCGAGATGTAGCCCCACTCACTGTTATACCCCCGTAACTTACGAGTTTCGTGCATGTATATTATAAATGTTTTATCGCAATTTCATTATTTTTGTAACAGAAATTTTTGTAGGTAGGTAAATCTCACTGGATAAATGTGCAATGTAAAAAACCCGTTACTTTGCCTAGCATAATTTTAGAGTCATTGCCCTTTGTTTATTTTTACACTTCGAACTTTGTCCGGACATAACTCTGAAATCACAGATAGATCTCATGAATAGATGTGCTTTGCAAACAACCTGATTTTGGAGTTATTGTCCTTTGTTCATTTTTACACTTTGAACTTTGTCAGAGACATAACAGATATCAACAAGGAGTAGTTTCTCTGTGTCCAAAACCTGTTCTTGCAGCATCACCCGGTTCAACCGGCACTCTTTTTTTTGCATTTTGAATGTTGCTACCCCATGCCC